CTTTCAATGTCCATTCTTGGATTGTAGGCAAGTCTTCCTTCTTCCAATATTGCGCCACCAAAGCGTTCATGACTTTTGAGTGGGAACCCTATTCTAAATAGTTCTGCCTTTTTCCTCCAAATGTACCATACACGTTGTTGAAGCCAGCACTAATATTAACTATTCCCTTGCCCCTAGAAAGAGTTGGGCCCCTTAGGTGGATTATTTTTCCCAGCAAGTCACTTAGTAAGATAAGTATCTAAGGCAGGGCTGTCAAGCTCACGGGGTGGATGTATCACGTGCTGGCCCCCGCCAACACCCAGTTTAGCGAAGGGGGGGGGGAGTCCCAATACATCACATGAGGCTGCCGTAACAGTGTGAGTTTAACACCCCTGATGTAAGGTATCAATACTTTATCTTTCTGGAAGAGGTAATTCTGTTTTCGCCAGATATGCATGCTTACCACTGGAAGTACCATCTATAGATAGACCTGCTTTTGTTTCTCTATTTTCAGCAGACAAATCTGAGCCCAAAGTGAATACTACTAATCAGGAAGTGAGCCAGATTCTACAAGACCTGGGAGACGATGTGTACCAGCAATACCGCTCTTTGACTCGACAGAGCAGTGATTTCGATTCTCAGACAGGCTTTGGCATCAATGTGAGTCCCTCGGATCGGTCTCTGCAGCCAACAACCCAAGTAGTTCTGTTAATTCTAGGTTAAGAAGTGGCATGAAAATGTATCTGCTTGTCATGTACAACACTCTTACCCCATGTAATGAAGTTTAAATGATTCATTATATCTTCCCTTTCTTTCACTCTAGGCTCAGGTCTTTGCTGCTGATAGTGCAGCCTCTGAGATTCCTCAGTCTGGAACTCCTCAAGGTGATGGTAAGCACCAGTTTTATTGATGATGCAATCCCAAACTAAATGCAATGTTTAATACATCTGACAGTATGTTCTCTGATATTTGGAAGTTTATTTGGCTAAACTGATTAGCTTCTAAATGTCATTCCGTTGTAGGGGAAATTTCTTATCTTGGCAGTAAAAATGCAGCTTCTGCCCCCCCCCCCCCCCATGAGATCAAATTGTTATCTTAATTGGGTGTAGTCTGGTGTTCTGTAACCTACTGCTTCCAAATGTGTTGGAACTAGAACTTTCTGTATTCCATATCAGTATATGTAATCACAATATATCTGGACAGTACCAAGTAAGGGCAAGTTGATTTGATTTCAGATGTTCTGAAATTAGATTTCTTGGGATAGCAGCTCTTCCTCTGAGGGATCCTTTCCTTTCTAACCTATAGCTTCTACACCTGAAGAATCTAGAGAAAATAAGAAGGATAAAGATGGCGATAAAGCTGCAGAGGAAAACAAGCAAAAGGCTAAGGGGAGCAAGCCACTTATGCCTACCTCTACTATTCTGCGGCTCCTGGCAGAGCTTGTGCGCTCATATGTGGGCATTGCTACATTAATTGCAAACTACAGTTACACCGTGGGCCAGTCTGAACTTATAAAAGAGGTAAGAAAAGTCTAAATGCACTGGTTGACCAGTGCCAAATAACCATGGGCTTGGAAGCTAGGTACAAGCAAGGAAAGAAGTTGAGGGTCGGTACCCTAAGTTACTCCAGTGGACAATGGAAAGCATAAATTTACATAGAGTTGTAAATCGGGTGGCATTGTTGGTAAGGGAAAAAGTTGGCAATTCTGGTTTTTCTTTTCCCCACTGATATCTTACTGGAACTTTTCAGGACTGTAGTGTTTTGGCTTTTGTTCTGGACCATCTCCTGCCCCACACCCAGAATGCCGAAGACAAAGATACACCAGCCCTGGCTCGGCTCTTTCTAGCCAGTTTGGCTGCAGCGGGTAGTGGCACTGATGCCCAGGTGGCCTTGGTGAATGAAGTGAAGGCAGCCCTGGGCCGGGCATTGGCCATGGCAGAAAGCACGGAAAAACATGCCAGGTGAGGAATATGGGAAATATTTGTACTTCCAGGTGGATCAGTACCTGAAGAAAGCTCATAGCACTGTAAGTCTCGTACCTAGAGGTTCAGACATTTTTTAGCCTTTGATTGGGCTAAGTAAAATATATAAATAAACTATGTTTCTTCACTATATTATAAAAATATAGGCCCCGTACTTATAAGACTGTAATGATATTTTTGGAGGATGCCTTCCCATTCAGAGGGAGAGGGAGAGGCTACCCAAGAGCATGTCTTTTTGTCAGTAGCCAGAATTGAGAATGCTACTCCCAGTAAAGTGTGTAACAAATAAAACGAGGATGTTTACTATGGGAAAGGGAGAAAAATGCCATTCCACAGACGTGGGTCATGGCATGGTTGGGTGTCCAAGCACAGAAACATTACTTTCCTGTTGATTCGTGGTATCCTGTCTTAATTTAGGCTACAGGCAGTGATGTGCATCATCAGCACCATCATGGAATCCTGCCCATCCACCTCCAGCTTCTACAGCAGCGCCACAGCCAAGACACAGCACAACGGCATGAACAATATCATCCGCCTGTTCCTCAAGAAAGGGTTGGTCAATGACTTGGCCAGAGTGCCCCACAGTCTTGATCTGTCCAGGTAATTTGCTCAAGAAAAGGAGCCGAATTAATTCATGGGTACAGTGGTGCTAAACAATTTGGTTGGAATTAAGAAATAAAATTTCCCCTGGTTTCCATTAAGATTTGTCTTTGGGAAAAGTCTGGTTATAGAATTAGCTGCCTTATTGAGATAATTAAAATTCTGTCCCTGTCCCATTTTATTAAAGATTTCTATTTCTATATATCTACATCAGCTAAGGTCTATTAGTTGAGATCTGACTTTGCTCTAACTCGGACTACTCTGTGTGTGTACTTTTTCCTAAAGTCCCAACATGGCCAACACAGTTAATGCTGCCTTGAAACCCCTGGAGACATTGTCACGTATTGTCAATCAGCCCAGCAGTCTCTTCGGTAGCAAAAGTGCCTCAAGCAAGAGCAAGGCAGAGCAGGATGCTCAGGGAGTAGCACGAGATGCCAGCAGCGGTCAACAAGATGCAGGTAACATGCCTCGTCTCCTCTAAGTATTCTTTAAAATGGCTGTGTACTTTGACCTCTTCCCCGACAGCTTCCTTATCTCTTGCTATATTTGATTTGTGAGGTGGGAGCAAATTTGTGACTTGCTCCCTCTTCTGGCTAGATTTCCTTTTGTCTGCTTTTACATATGTATGTATGTATGTATGTATGTATGGTGTTGTGTTGTATCTTGTATCTTGTTGTATTGTATCTTATTGTATATGTGTGTGTGTGTGTTTGTTTGTGTGTGTGCTAGATTTCCTTTTTGTGTATATATGTATGTATATGTATATATGTATGTATGTATCTCCAGTGATTTGTGCTTGAGTAAAGTCAGTTCAAGAGAGGGGAGGCCTCACTTTTATTTGACTCTTAGGAGAAAGTGGAGAAACAGAAGCTCCCGAGGAGGACCATGACGTTGCACAAGCAGAAGTAACAGATGGTGACATCATGGATGGTGAAGCAGAGACTGACGCAGTGGTGATTGCGGGGCAGCCTGAAGTCCTGAGCACACAAGAGATGCAGGTGCGAATGCTAGAGGTTGTAAGGATATTCCCTCTGGGTTTTTTGTTTGTTTGTTTGTTTGTTTGTTAGTTAGTTTTTACAAAAACTAACAGACTGCAGACTTTTAAGACTGAAATATAATGCAATGGGGGTGTCATTTGAATTCCTGCTTATGTTGATTTAGGTGGAGTTTGTCTTAAATTGCATATAGAAGAATAAAAGTGAAGATTTACAATCCCCCAATTCTTTTGTAAAATGAGTGTTGGTCCTACCTGAACGCTGTTTCTCTTCAAACGGAGAGAGAACAGTATTTTCAGCCAATGTAGTCCTTCCAAAATTCCCAAGGGCCAACAGCCATGGGAATTGAGAAGTGAAATCACATCATATTTGAAAGTTGGGGGAAGAGAGCTTTAAATGACTGAATAGAACCGGGACTGAAATGTTTAATTTTCCACCAATTTCCATAGTCTTTCCTTTTTTTATTCAGATTGTGATATCTGAAGCAGGGGTGACTGATTATTAATTTATACCTGTGCTTGAACAACAAGCAGAGAGGTACTAACACACAGGGTAGTGCAGCTTCTGTAGAGTTTCAAGGCTTATTAAGGTATGTGGAACAACTGGATCTCAGTGATGTTCCCATCTCTGTTTTTCTAGGTCGAAAATGAACTGGAAGATCTGATTGATGAATTACTGGAGCAAGATGGTGGCTCAGGAAATAGTACTATAATAGGTGAGAGCAAACACATAATTCAATGTTAGGGTCAGCAGTTAGGATCTCACGGTTTAACATGTCTTGTTTTATTTTCCTTGTGTGTAATCTAAAGGAATAATTTAAATTCCACATTATAATATAGAGAATTCTATCATATATTAGCGGCCATTCCTCCAGATAGAGAAAAATGGCTGCTCACGCCATTTCTTGGCTGCTATTCATTCATGCAAAACATGAAAAAGCTGCACTAATAGTTGGCAGATGCCCATACTATCTGTTCTCTCTTTAGAAACATTTCATTTCTTTCTCAGGGTGCTAGGCAGAGGCAAATGCATTCATGACATTGTCATCAGTGTATTTGTTTTTAGTTACCGCATCACATCAGAATCATAATGGGTATTTATAGATAAAATGGACAGCTCTGGCATTCCTCAACAGAAAAAATAGCTGTTCAGTCATGATTCTGCTAAATCCTGTGCTCTGCCTTTGTGTCCTTCAGTGGGACGAAGTGGAGAGGATGAGTCTCAGGAGGATGTGTTGATGGATGAGGCACCTTCCAATCTGAGCCAGGCTTCCACACTACAGGCCAACAGGGAAGGTGAGGCATTGCCTAAACATTTATCTCTAGTCATAAAAATGCCAATAGACATCCTTCCGGTGGGGTTGGTGCAGTGCTGGAGAAAAGAAACTTAACACTACTATATTTTCAAAATGTTCATAGGCGGAAGCTCTTTTTTTAGAAAGCAGAAAGATAATTATTTATGTAATCTTGCTTCACAAGGCTTTTCCAAATTTGAAAAAACAAAAAGTTTGGAGAATCTCATTAGAGAAATAACTGGAAATGTTTTCATTTAATTAGCACAAGCCACCTCACTTTATCTGCACTCTCAATTCTGTTCTAGATTCTATGAATATCTTGGATCCTGAAGATGAGGAAGAGCACACACAGGAAGAAGACAGCAGTGGTAGCAATGAGGATGAAGATGATAGTCAAGATGAGGAAGAAGAGGAGGAGGAGGAAGATGAAGATGATCAGGTAAAGGCACTAGGAGAAAAGCCAGCACAAAAGCCTACTGCCAACTTACTTTACAATCTTCACATTACTGACTTGTATGGAATAACAAGGAAGGACAATTTAAAAAGTTGGCTGGTTTTTGATAGTCTCAAGAACAATTAATAATGTGTGGAATCTGAAGTCTGCTTAATGTACAATTAAATTAAGAGTTTTTCTGGTTTAGAATTTCCCTTGGTTCAAAGTAGTGAGCATGATTATGAGGAAATGCAAAGGGATGGATTTCAGAATCCTGGATACACATTGTCGATTTTGATGTTTGATGTTTGCTGTTCGTTGTAGGATGATGAAGAAGGTGAAGAAGGTGAAGAAGAGGAAGATGATGATGACGGCTCCGAGATGGAGTTAGATGAAGACTATCCTGATATGAATGCCTCCCCGCTGGTGCGTTTTGAACGCTTTGACCGTGAAGATGACCTCATCATAGAATTTGACAACATGTTCTCCAGCGCCAGTAAGAATTCTGAAACTCAGAAGCCATAGGATATTGATGATATTCTAGAACCTGTGAGAATTGGGAAGCAGAATGTTGATGGCTAAGAAGCTACTCTTCTTACTTTGGAATGAAGTATTCTTCCTGTGTTTTGTCCAGGCTGATGAGATGAATTGGAATTTGCAAAAACAACAAGTCATTTAGAAACCCATATGATGTTACCTTTGCTAAATCTGTGGGTCTGGCCAATTTTATAATTTAAGGAAATCTCTCTGCTTAAATCTTCATAGTCCCCATCTTGATCTGCTAACTCTCCTATTTTCATTCCTAGCGGATATTCCTCCATCACCTGGCAATATTCCGGCCACTCACCCACTTATGGTACGGCATGCAGACCATAGCTCTTTGACTTTGGGTAGCGGTTCCTCTACTACTCGATTGGCCCAAGGCATTGGTCGCAGCCAGAGGACATTACGACAACTGACCGCCAATACGGGACATACAATTCATGTGCATTATCCAGGCACCCGACAGCCCAACCCACCTCTAATTCTGCAGAGGTAAGCTAAGGAAAAAGAGAGGAGCCTAATGGGAACAATGCTGAATGTTAACAATATTGCCCATTTCTCAATTCCCAGTAATTTGCTTTAGAAGAGAGCGGCTTATTTGCAATTTGTTCATGCATTGGATCATCCTTATCCTAAAATATTGCAACATCTGCTTCCTAACTCTTTCCAATTACTGCATGTCATCTTCAGATTGCTGGGTCCTTCAGCAGCCGCAGACATCCTGCAGCTAAGCAGTAGCCTTCCACTCCAGAGTCGAGGTCGTGCTCGCCTCCTGGTAGGCAATGATGATGTGCACATAATTGCTCGCTCGGATGATGAGTTGCTGGATGAGTTCTTTCATGACCAGAGCACAGCTACCAGCCAGGCAGGCAAGTCTTCAGGGAACTAATTGCTAAGGCTTTGGAATACTGAAATAATTGTGTCTTCACCAAAGTTTTGAATAACACCAAAGCTGTCTATAACCTAGAAATCCAGCATTTGCAAGCAGGAGGGGGAGAGGAATTATCATTATTTTAAGGAAGCATTATGGTACATTGATGTATCTCAGAGACTTCCAATTCTTGAAAGCTGTCCTCTAGCTTTGATTCTACCATTGTTAGCCATAACCAAGTCACAGTGAAACAACATTGATGCGTAGGGAAAGCTCGCTCCAAAGATTTTTTGGCTTTAATTTGATTGCGTTAATTCCTCAGAAAATGCTTTTTAGAAAAATGCATTTAAAATTTAGGAAATAGTCCTATGCATATTCACATATATGCAAACTTCATTTAAGTTAATGGGATTTACTTGGCCCACATTCATAGGAATGCATTATTCAAGGGATACCAAGCTTGCCTTCAATTTCTATGGAGCCTGCTCCTCCAAAATGTTATTTCTTAATACTTCAATTATGATATTTGAATTCTTTCAAAACCATCGTCCCTTTCATTCACTTCTTTAGGAACATTGTCAAGCATCCCAACTGCCTTGACACGCTGGACGGAAGAATGCAAAGTACTTGATGCGGAAAGCATGCATGATTGTGTTTCAGGTGAGCTAATGAGTACTTCCTTCAGATAGTATCCTCCTCCCTTAAATTGACTGTGCTTGACTGGAAGCCTTTCCTCCATTCAGTGGTCAAAGTCCCCATTATCAACCACTTGGAAGCCTTGAGGGATGAAGAGCTAGAGGAAAGAAGAGAGAAAAGACGCAAGCAATTGGCGGAGGAAGAGGCCAAAGTGTCTGATAAGGCCAAAGATTCAGAAGACAAGGAGCAGAATCCTCAGGTTAGCAGTCAAACTTGACTATTTGTGGATTTTCTTTAAGGCACCCTTAAAAACCAGGCATTAGACTTTCAAGGCCTTTTCTATCTGGTATGGCTGCTAAAGTTAGTTGAAGAAGGATCAGCAGCTAGAAATAGTTAGCACTTTATATTGCAGAATACAAACAACCTCTGTTTATGAAAGGAAGGGAGACTTGGCCCTAACCATTGGTTGTTTCTAAGTGACTTTATCCCAGAATCATCACATTTTTCTGCTAAACACAGCCCAATCCCGACAGCTCTTTTTTCTTCCTTATTTAATAAGGCTTATGTTCCAATTCAGCAACAAAATAAAGGAGGCTAGTTTATTAAATATGATTAATAATGAAATACTGTAGATTATTACTTTCAGAAGTTCAGAACAGCAGAAAAACAAATGAAGAATTGAATTGAACAAAATAGGAAAAATGAAATACTCTAACAAAAATAGAAGTGACTTCTGTTATCTTTCTATGAATCAGTGAATAATATTCATGCAATTTTTCAAGAAAATATTTAGGATGCTTACAAAGTATTATGATAACTTCAGTAGATTTAAAACAGTATAGAGTGACTTCCAGCATATGTTTTTTTTTCTTACTATGAATAATAAAAAACTAATTATTTGTTATTTGTAAAACTGCTTAACAAGAATAATGGTTAATTAAAGGGCATAAATAGCCTTATATACTCTGCATTTCTTTTTGTATGCATTGTAATTTTAGATTTTAGGACAGAGCTAGCAATTAAGTTTTTTATGTGTTCCATAGCAATGTATAGAATATGTTTACTAGCTTTTATGTGGAATTGTCCTTAAGTTTGCTTTACAAGACTAGGGAAAAAAAACAGATGGAGACACTGGGTGGGAGTAACACACAATCTCCTTCCTGTCCTAAAAAGAAGGTGTAGATTCGTATTTTCCTACCTACATTGGTCTTCAGAGCCTGAGATGGATTGACTGAATTCTGCATCACTCTGATTTTGTATGTTTGTTGCCTCTGTAGGGACCAGTGCCACAGTCAAACAGTTCAGCTGAGCAGAATCTCCCAGGTAATTTATTTTCTTCTGGATGTTTGGTTGGTGTCTTATTTTCTTCCCCCAGCTTAGCTCAAGCAGATGCTGTTCCCGGACCCCCTGGGATGAGGTAGTAGATTGTATAGTTTTAGGGTCATACCCGGTCTTGGAGATAACTATACAATCTACTGTCTTTCCTATGAGGATTCCTAATTCCATCATGCCACCATTGCCTACTCTGAAGAAGAAGAAAGATGCTACTGAAAGATTACACCTAACTCCAGCAAGGAACTGGGAATCCAAGCTCCCAAGTTTGGATGCAACACGGGAGATTTTTTGTTGTTGTTGTTCCATTGTTGGGTTTGGCTGGGGTGTTTGCAGTAGGCTGTTGTATCTTACAAACCGCAGTTGTGTGCTTTGAGTAGAGAAATTCAGTACAGGGAAAAGGGGAGGATCTCCTGTAGCGCAAACAATATACATAATACTTTGCCTTCATGCTTTTGTGCTTCTTGCTCCTACCAGGGTGAGGTAGTAAGTTGTATTGTTGTGGGGTAGGGATTTGTGCCCCAAATCAGAGATAACTATACAACTTACTACTTTCCCTGTGTGGAGTAAAATACCCAATATTGTCTTTTGCTTTTTTTCAATGCACTTAGTTTTGTGGGAACTCGGAGCTTTGTTTTACTAAAATGGGGGGGGGGGGAGCCAAGGCCCCATTTGAAATCCTCCTGCTGCTCAGCAGGTTGGGTTTTAAGCCAGCCTCCCTCCCTTTCTCGGCTCCCAGATGGTGCCACCCATCCCGACGGCTACCCCGCAGTCTCAGCTGCCGCCAAAGACACCTCGGCTGGCTCTAAGCAGACTCTGGTCACATTGGAGAGCCCCCAGCAGCAGCAGCAGCAACAAGCAACAGGGGCAGGAGAGCTCCCTTCAGAGCTGGTGGGGCAGTCCACTGCTCAGGCTTCTGGGCAACTGCTGATGCCAGTGGAGCAGGAGGACTCGGGCCCTGGGAGGCTGAGCACAGACGCTGAGGCCACGCAGATGGAGCTTTCACCTGCCCCCACCATCAGTAAGTGGCCTTAGGCTTCACCCTGCAGCCACTGTTGCCCCTTTCTGACCCTTGTACGTAGCTGTGCAGTCATGTGACTTATCTTTGTCCAAACATTCAGCATGTTTTTTTCAAGGGTTTATGTTTATGTTCTTACGAAATTTTAACATACAAGGTTAATGCCTGTGTAATAATCCCCACTGTGATATAGTCTTGGTTATATCAATCTTTTTTTAACGTTCTTTATTTTAAAAACTCAAGACTTTTTATGGAGGAGTGATTTCAAATTTTGACTTGAATAATGAAATGTTCGGCCAATTTATTTGGGTTACTCTTCTGCTTTGATAGTTTTTCCAGAAAAGTTCTGCAGTCTGTCACTCCAGAGTCTTAATTCAACCTGGTGCTAGCAATCTTGGTTAACAACAGATTTTCGGTCCAGTATTTCAAGCAATATATTCTGTCCTAATTTCTTGGAGAGGACACTCGCATCCCAGAGAGCTGTGTTCTTCTGTGAATCTCCGTGAAAGAATTTGAGTTCCCTGCCCACAAACCTTTGCCTTGCTTTTCCCACCAGCTTCGCTCTCTCCAGAGAGAGCTGAAGACTCAGATGCCTTGACTGCTGTCAGCAGCCAGTTGGAGGGCTCACCCATGGACACCAGCAGCCTGGCTTCATGCAATCTGGAAGAAAGCGTGGCGGAGAGTGGTGGAGCTAGCACCGTGGAACAGGCAGGCACAGATGCTGTGGTGGCAGCAGCCGATGCAAGCCAACAAGGGCCAAACGCCCATACTGCTAGGGAGGGCCAGCCTGATCCCAGCCAGCAGGTGGATGATGGGTAAGAGCCAGAAATCAAATATAAGCCGGTGTCCTGTTTTGTTTGTGTTAGCCCTGCATTAATTATTACCACTCTTCCCCGCTATGCAGCTCTCCACCGGCATCCTCTGAGAGCTCCTCCACCAGAGATTCAGCTGTAGCCATTTCTGGTGCTGATTCTCGGGGCATCTTGGAAGAACCACTGCCTTCCACCAGCAGTGAAGAGGAAGATCCTTTGGCAGGTAAATGTTACAGGAGCAAAAAAGATAATGGTCAGTTTTATAATAGTAAACTTTTCTCTGTAGCACCAACAATTGCACCTAATATCCCTTTTCAACAGGAATAAATCTTCCTGAAGGTGTCGACCCATCTTTTTTGGCTGCCCTGCCTGATGACATTCGACGCGAAGTGCTGCAGAACCAGTTGGGTATCCGGCCTCCTGCCCGTTCAGCTCCTACCACCACGGCCACAACTCCAACACCTCCTGTAGTGGGCAATCCTGGTGTGACAGAAGTCAGTCCTGAGTTCTTGGCTGCTTTGCCCCCAGCTATCCAGGAAGAGGTATTACTATACACTTCTTAAGGGTGACACAGAATCGAAGCAATTACTTCACAGAAGTAAGAAACTGAAGCTATCCTTGTGGTCCACCGAATTGCACTGCATAAAATAGGATTGTGTTTCTCTAAATCAGTGGTTCTCAACCTGTGGGTCAGGACCCCTTTGGGGGGGTCAAACAACCCTTAGACAGGGGTCGTCTAAGACTATTGGAAAACATATATTTTCGATGGTCTTTAGGAACCGAGACACCAATTTTACGGTTGGGGGTCACCACAACATGAGGAACTGTATTAAAGGGTCGTGGCATTGGGAAGGTTGAGAACCACTGCTCTAAATCATTCTTTAGTCATACTTAGAAATATAGAAAACTGATGGCAGAAAAAGACTTAGTGATCCACTGATTCTGCCCTTTGAGTTTTGTTTTGTTTTTAATTACTTATTTTTAATTTATTTAATTTATTTTTTAATTTATGTTGGATGGACTATCCTAAGCATGTTTAAACTGCTGACTGACCTTGTTGGAAGTTGGTTCCAAGCTTCCACTACTCTTTCTGTGAACTTACTTGCCTAATTCTCTTCTGCCAAATCTCAAAGGAATTCCATACTTATACAAATTTATGGAGTCTATTTATGAAATAGACACCCATAATTGATCTTGCTCTTTCTATGTAAAGATTTGTTGTTTTTAATCAAAATACTAAGGCGTTAATGTCAGAATCAAGCTAAAGTTTCTGCTCCTGAGAAACTCATGCAGATATTCCAATTATTAGTTATTTCATGAATATTTCTTTTATAAGGTCTTTCTTAGTCTATGATGGCAGGAAAAACTGATAGTACATTTTCAGCAACCAAAGTTTATTTAAAAAGCATCATTTCATCAGCTGAATCAGCTGGTGCATTGGATCAGCTTCCTCATTCCTCCCTTAAGGCTTAATACCATATCAGCCTTTCATTTATTCATACTGGGTAATTTGGTATTTTACTTAGGCGATTGGTATTTAGAGGACATACGGTTGAAGAAATGCTTTGCTTGTAGAAACTAACACTGTACTTGGTCGGCATATAAGTTTTCATTGTGATGAGGAAATTGTTGGCTTTCAAACTTTTCAAAATCTTTTTTTTCAATTCCAGGTGTTGGCACAGCAGCGGGCAGAACAGCAAAGGCGTGAGCTTGCCCAAAGCACAAGCTCAGACACACCCATGGATCCAGTGACTTTCATTCAAACACTGCCATCAGATCTGCGGCGCAGTGTGCTGGAAGACATGGAGGATAGTGTATTGGCAGTCATGCCTCCTGATATTGCTGCTGAGGCACAGGCTCTGAGGCGAGAACAGGAAGCCCGCCAGCGTCAACTGATGCATGAGCGTCTCTTTGGCCACTCTAGCACTTCTGCCTTGTCTGCTATTTTGCGTAGCCCAGGTAAGGCAAGCCTTTCCTGTTTTGTCATCGTATATTGTTTGGTTTATTGGGTCTCAACTCTTGATTCAATTACTTTGCTCCCCTTTTCACTCTTCGCAGCCTTCACAAGTCGATTGAGTGGAAACAGAGGTGTCCAGTATACACGCTTAGCTGTACAAAGAGGAGGTACCTTCCAGATGGGTGGTAGCAGCAGCCACAGCAGGTACTAGATATTGAGTGGGACAGGATTTTTCTGGAGGAGGGATACACCCTGGGATAAACTGGATTTGTTTGGAATCGCAAAACTAAAATTGTAATAATTGCTCCAAACTAGTTATGCTATTAACATGGAGGTGGGCTTAATTTGAAATCTAAAAATTGGACTGGCCATGATCTTGCCTCCAGAAATAAGAAAATACCTGTACTTAGCCATTCCAAAAAGTCCTGCCTTTTGATCTGCTTCACTGTGTAAGCTGAAAGACAGACTGGATTGGTTTGAAAATAAAGAGCAGAGCTATAGTTTTAAGAACCAGCAGCCTTGAGGATAAGCATTTGATTCAATATTTGATTTAAACTTTAAGGGATTCAAATTCATTCTGATTAACAGATAGAATGAGCATTGACAAGAAAGGAGAGCTTTCCAACTCATTGAAGTTATGACCTAAGGAAACCTGCCTCTCCTAAATGAGTCTCTCTTTGCTAGAAAGGGTTTCTTTAAAGAAGTATCTTGTATTTGTGGAATAAGGTATAAACTTCTCTGATATTTCTATTGTTGCTTCTTAGACCTTCAGGCAGCAATGTAGACAGTCTGCTGCGTTTGCGTGGACGCCTTCTACTGGACCATGAGGCCTTGTCCTGTCTGTTGGTCCTGCTTTTTGTAGATGAGCCAAAGCTGAACACAAGCCGGCTTCATCGGGTGTTGCGGAATCTTTGTTATCATGCGCAGACACGAAACTGGGTGATTCGGAGCCTACTTTCCATCCTGCAGCGCAGCAGTGAGAGCGAACTGTGCGTGGAGACGCCCAAGGGGACTGTGGCACCAGATGACAAAGGCAAAAGGGCAGCCAAAGGCTGTGGTGCAGACAGCCGGCCACTCGACCTGTTGCATAAAATGGAATCCAAAAGCTCGGGGCAACTTTCTTGGCTCTCAGTTTCCATGGATGCAGCTCTGGGTTGTAGAACCAACATCTTCCAGATCCAGCGAGCTGGAGGCCGCAAGCACACGGAGAAGCATGCTGCCGCTGGTTCCACGGTTCACATACACCCACAGGCTGCCCCAGTGGTCTGCCGTCATGTACTTGATACTCTCATTCAACTTGCCAAGGTGAAGGCAAGAGATTTTTAATGTACTACTCTTGATACAATAAGGAAAAGCTTTTTTTTTTTTTTTTCATTTTGAGGAATACTCGGAAGAAGCAGGCCAGTTTGTTTTTGGAGAAAAGATTGAAATATTGCAGTTAAAAAAAACCCAAATTAATTCCATGTGTAAATCAAGTTGACAGGGCTGATTATCACAAGGAGATAGATGTAGAAATTTTTTTAGCAACAAGTTCCTAAATAGAAAATAGTGAGCTATAGAACTATACATATGTACAATAATATATCTTATTTACAAGATTTAAATCCATCTTGTCCATGGGTGTGCTAAAAACCACAAAGAGAACCAGCATAAACACTTAAAAAAAAACCCATATAGAAGCACAACTAATTTTAATGGGGAAGAGTGAAATTGTAATTTTCATTTCAGTATTTCCAAGCTGCTTTTTTAATTCTTAGGCTTGACGAATGAAATACGAGTACATTTACTTCTCCCTTGTATTTGTTATGAAGATATTGACCCAGTCATTGACTGCCAGAATTGTTGTCCTCATTGTGAGTTGATGTGGCCAGAATTCCGTTGCAGTCGGCTGCAGTGCATTAACTTTGTCCCCCAAAGTCCATGTGCCACATTAGAAATACAAAAAATACTGTAGCCTTTTCTGATCCCGCTTCTTTTATGCCAAAGAGTTGTGTGAATTTAAAGGTAAAATATGTGCAATATATAGCTTTTTCCCTTCAGTGTTAGAAGTTACTCTGGAGTGGTTTCTCCACCTACCAGCTACAGTTTCAGGATATCGATGCTTAAATCTTTCTAGTAAGAAGGCTTACCCCAGTTCCAGACCTGCCCACTAAAAAACATGTTCCACAGAGTACCATTTTTATGAATCTTCCTTATATTACCAGTTTGTATTCAGCATTTATTTAAAATGAATGAAGGTTTGTTGTATATTTGCTTTATGTCTACCCTAAAGGAGCTGCAATTAATCAGTATTCCGGGTTACTACAGGGTAAGAAATACTACCGCTATTCTAGGCAAGAAGCAGGAATGCTTATTAATATTAATGCTAGCGTTCGAAAATTAGTCTTTAGAAGTGGGTAGGCTGAGTTCGTTCTCTACATGCAGTGGCAACTGTTCAGTGCTAGTGCTGCCCATTCCTTTTTATTAGCTACCATTTACTATAAGCTGTAAACATATTCTGTATACATTTTCTAGAGGTATATTTTGTGTTCTGTGCTGCTAGTTACCGTATTTTTCAGAGTATAAGACGCTCCAAAGTATAAGACGCACCTAGCTTTTGGGGAGGAAAACAAGGGGGGGAAATCTGCCTCCCAGCAATTTGATTCCTTGCAACAAACAGCAAACAGTACAGACAATATACACTGTTTGTGGTGTATTTCTGTGCATGTGTGCCTGACCCATAGAAATAGCCAAGAATTGGAGAAATGTACATTATGGCAGTATATTAATGCCAGAAAGTTTTCTTAAATGTTGTCGCACTAACTCCTCCAATTATTTAAATAAATTTACTCCAAACATGACTAAGTCAGGGTTTAACTCAGCTACCTTATCTTAATACTACAACAGGACACTGTTACATTTCAGACTATACTTGTACAGATGCCGTTAAAATTTATGTGACTTTCTGGAAGAATAGGTTATTCTCTGTTATTTAAAAGAAGATACAACAGCACTGGGCCTCTT